AATAAATAAGTGTTTTGAGTAGTAACCTGCTTGTATAAAGCGGTTTGGATACATTCACAGATTAGAGATTCGGAAATTTCATATTTGAGCAATCTATTAATTTCTTTTAGCTTGATATAATATACAAATACCAATTAAAGGTATTAATACCAAACCTGGGGATTCTCCAATACAAAAGCACCGAATTCTAAAGAGTCCCTAAACCAGTCAAGCAAGTGTGGAATAATTATCACAAAAACAATATTTTAATGAGTAGGAGCTATGTAGTATTACAGAATAGGCGGGTGGGATAGGGTTTTAATAACTTTACCCTAATTTAACAAGGTTATACTAATTCAATAATAGATTCAAATTAAGGATTAAAATATAACTCAAAGAGCTATAATACAGGATTTTCCAAGTTAAAGATATATAGGATTTTGCTAAGCAAGCTAGCCGATCAGGCCCTAGCTCATTTACGCTCCAGCGCGAGCGCCCAATTCGGTCCCCTCCGAGGGGACCAATATGTCACGTGATCTCACACCGTGACAAGGAAAATCGATTTCGGTATATCAATTGAAGAGATAAACCTATTCTTGAATTACTAGAAATAGGAGAATAGTTTTACCCTCTCCATTTCCGTATATTATTGCTATAATCCATTCTCGATTGTCTAGCTATACTGATTTGCTTTTACTACATCTTTCAGTATTAATAATAATTATTGCTACACATATAATTCCCATTATAAAGCTTGTTTTATCAAAATTATAGAAATCTTTATCCAAAATACTATATTTCATTTGTATATTTGTAATTAATCGAAATCATTCTTCAAAAAGCTTAGGATTCTCGCAAAGAACTTTTTGAAAGTTATTTATTTATTTATTTATTTATAGTGATTAACGTCTAATATCTGACCTCCCAAGGGGTATTCTAGACGTACTAAGGAGCGGGCCTACAGGCCGCTAGTGTTCCAGCCGCTTATAGTAATATAATATTAGCTAATCAGGGGCTTATTGTCTCTAATATTCCCCCGCTCAGTACCGCTCATAGCGATCCTGCAGCTGTTCTGTCTAAGGGTTTGTGGTTTTGTTTTAGAGGGTCTTGTTTTGTATGCCATCCAAATATCAGCAGATGATCAGGTCGATCGCTATCGATCGGGAGAGCGCTCGGAGCGCTTATGGCTGGTCGGTGTGGGTTTTAGGTTGATTGGGTGGAGAGTTCATCCTCGGGGTATTAGAGCAAGTTGGAATTCGTATAGTTTCGCATAGTTTGGGTATATCCTAATATAGAATCTGGATCTAGCAAGAAGGTCAGTAAAGCTATATTGTGTTTGTAGGACGCGGTTGATATATGCTATCGCGTTCTATTCGGATTGAAGTCGATTTGGTACAAATGGCCAGTCGCTACGTGTCTGATTATTGATTGAACATTGAAAGAAATACAATAAGCTTTTCTCAATCCTGTATATACAGATCTTTGTGCTATTTTTGTGATTGAATCTGATATGATAGGCTGCAAAGTTACCATGTCCAATCCGTATCGCTATAAGTCTGTGTAGTACCCCGCGAGGGAGCTTGAGGCTTTTCGGCTTCGAGGTATCATATACCGGTTTCCATGCATTGTATGTTTCGAAGATTAGACCTCTTTTTCCTTCCACCATCTACTCTCAGAGCACCGACATTTGGTATATAGGACAGAGCGGGAGCTACTGACTGTAGGGAGGCAGGATGGACCAAGATCAAGCGGCCTAGCCGTACCCTAATCAGCGAGGCGATTGGCTGCTTTGTTGCCCTTAATCTCAGTATGCCCAGGGGACCACTTGATTACAATATCGTAATGTTATATCGTTTAATGGCACTTGTAATATGCCTATTGAGAGAAGGTAGCGGTGCTTTCTCGTATTCCCCAGATTACTGATATGCTATTAATATATAACTATATTCGTTCCTGATAGGAGCGATTAATGATACTCAGAAAACATTCTAGTCCCCACCACGCGCCGATCGCCTCAACATCAAAAACATACAACTGTTCATGTATACAGCCGTAGTTGCTATCGATCTGTTGCTTGCCGCAATAGATTGCAAAGCCGTACCCCACACGGTGACTGTATTTGTTGTATTGTTCAGACCCGTCTGAAAACACAGAGTAGTCTTTTTGGGAAATTAAATCCCACCATTCCTTGAATACTTTCGCAGTGTTCTCTTTGTCCATACCATTCATTGAATCGGTACAACACTCGGGAGAGAAGTGAGGTTGTAAGAGTTTGGGGTGCTCGATGGCAGGGATCGTTTGTTCTATTCTTTGCAGTTTTATATTGGGACCTTTCAGAGTACCTGTACCTCATCCTCTTTTCTTGATACACAGCTTCAATCGGTTTACAAGTAGATGTTGTGTATCCATTGTCTGAAGCTGAAACGCGAACCTCAATCTGGCTTGCTCTAATGCAACAATTCCAGCTGGGAGATCAGCTTCTACGAGGAGTGCGGTCGTCGGGGTTGTCTTGTAGACGGATAAAGCTCCCCGTGCTGTATTATGGATTGTCTTGCTGACTAGGTTGATGTATTTCTTGATCCCGGTGCCGACCGAAACATGGCCTGCATTTAGGTGTTGTTTGTATAGCCCATCGAACCATACTTCGGAGCCAAAGAGGGCGATGGGAAGTACACAAGTAATGATCGCTTTTCGCAGGTAGGCTGCAGATGGTCTATGAGCTGTATGGGCTATTGATCGAATGTGGGATGCAACACGCATAGCTTTCGCGGTGCACGTTTTGACATACTATAGGAACATTAGGCGCCAATCAAAAAAGACGCCAAGCCAGTGTAAGGTCGGTTGTGCTCCGTTGGTGAGCCCTAGAGAGGTCGGCGTGATGACTAGATCCCGACTTATCCTCATAACCAGGTTTGCAATTTCATGTTTCCTCGATATGTGAAATAGCTTAAACTTTTCTGGAGTGAAAAAGATCTTATTCTGATCTCCCCATTGTAGGATGCATCGAATGGTTCGGCGGAGCATACATATATTCGTAGATAGGTTCTTAGACATATGATATATAGCTATATTGTCAGCATATCCGAAGCGCTATACTCTATCTTAATTAAAAAGCTCAACAAGGTAGAGGGTATACAGGATAGGGGAGAGTGGCGATCCCTGGGGGGTACCGCATGCGACCGGGAAATCCTGTGTTGTGATCCCCTTTTTGAAAGTTATAAATACAATTAAAATGTATTTTTAATTCGATTTGATATTTTACAAATCAATATGCTCAAAGCTTTCTAATATACTTTGTACCTTTCGATTCGAGAATATGATTTGTTATATTTTCTATATTCTTAAATTTAAATGGAAAACCTTTCAAATTCATATCGAGTATATATTCAGAAATAATATTCTCTTCTAATTCTAAAAGATTATAAGATTTAGATCAATATTCAGAATGAGGGGTTAAATCTTTTATTCTATATTGTAATATTGTATTCGGAATATTATATATTTTTGTAGTTTTTCGAATACTTATTTTTTTGTTTTTTCAAATAGCTTCAATAACAAGAAATATATAAGCTTTTTGATTATTCGAATTTATTATAAATTATTGAGAAAATGTATATTGAAAGAGAAGAAAGTGAATTGAGGTGAAAGTGACTCATTCACTGATATGATCTACTTACTGATAAATCACGTTAATCATTATTTATACCAGAATCCCCTGTTTTATCAAGCCTGATTGATCGAACTTTTGAGTCTGGTATAGTCAAGTTTTGCTGTATGTGATGTATGCCCCACCTTGCGCCTATTTGACGGATAACTCGGATAAAGTAGTACGTACCATAGAATGATAGACTATGCGGGGTGTATGATTTTGCTTCATCCCTTTTATGGCAAGTGTCAGCAAGAGTCAATGTATTGCAGGTACAAACGCTAGATCATCATCAGGTAAATTTTGAAAGATTGGGTATTGCTCCGGCGATATCTCAAACAGCCGGGCGGATGTGGATGGGTAACAGTGGGGCAGGGAATCACACGATAGGGTTCCAACAGTGGAGACGAGTGTTACAGGAAAAGCCTTCCGGGAAGTTATTTGATTCTCTTCTTGTAATTGAAAGTTAAATTTGACACAATGAGGTGTGCAGTCGCGGGAATCGCTTAGTAAAGCAAGCGCTGTGATTTCTGTAGCTAAGCTTAGATTTCAACAACTCATAGATTTGCTTATTGCTCGTTCTCCAGTGAACACTGATATCAAGAATAGAAGATATTCTGATCAAGTGGTTAGATCAGTGCTGGGAAGTTTGCTTCATCTGAACTGTAAGGCAAAATTTCAAGCGGAGGTTGAAAATTGGTTCAAAGCTGCTCTAGTAATGCAAGCCGAGTCGCACTAGAACTTTTGTAGCGAGAGCCATATCATCACCCTAAGTAACATACATGGTTGTTTGATTACTGGATTGTGAAAGGCATAAAAAAGTGATTACATGCTTAGCATTTAATCAGAGGGATGACAGGGTCAGACATTTTACCACTGGAAAGAAAAGTGCCTTGAAGTCAAGAAGATTGAAAGCGATATAGAACGTATCTTTCAATTTGCATTCCAACAAAACCATGCATAATTATCCTGCATTTTCATCAATATGACCACAAATCCCGGAACTCCCACCGCAGAATCACCTGTGTATCCACACGGTAAAGCTTCGGCGGCCTGTCCAGCGTCGATGAAAAGGTATTTTCCTCTTGATTCCCGTCATTGGTTACCAATCTGACGGTACCGATGAAAACTTTCCATATCTAGCAAATTCACAGGATCTCTACGCAGCTCTGAAAAAATGGACACCATCATGGCCAGAGTATCTGGATACGAGATGGCCGGGAAAAAGACATAACATTGGTTAGTTCTTCAAGCTACTTGCTCTGAAAGCTTGACTGATATCTTGTATAAATACTAGCACTCCTTCTATGGTCTTCTCACTTCAATCTTTGTAGCACAAACACCCATCCGCCTTCTCCCGAATCCTTGACCCAACATGCGTTTCGCACTGTCACTAAGTCTCCTCGCGATGCGTTGCATCACACCGGTCTACTCGCTCGCAATCGATGCCTCTTTGACCATCGAGGGAAAGCCAATGCCCGACAAATGGATCAGATATGATCTGACACCTGTCAATACGACAAGTACTGCCGTTTCTCTCACTCCTCGTACAGACGTCGATGTCTGTGAAATCATTAGAACTACTGCCGTCAGTTTATTATTTAATTGTCTCCTTAATTCCATCTTTGTAAGGCGCCGTACCAGCAGGTACAGACTTACGAAAGCTTCCTAAATTCCAGTTGATCATTTCCCCGAAAAGTAAATTTTATTTTTCGATTTTCATCGAGTTCTTTTCCAATATAATACTAATTCTGCTGAAGTCCTGTTTGACCATCGTCAAAATCCTCAGTGGCTTTGTCGCGTCCGCGGCAGCCTCGATCAAATCTGTATCAAATGACGGCAGCTGCGCCAAAATTTCTGGTTCCTGTGAGTCACAGAAAATCGAATTTGAAGTCCTAAGCTGACTTAAACATTAGTTGAAGGTATTTCATGGGTGTATTATGCAACTGGGCGTAACTGTGACACGACAGCCGAAGCTTCTACTATTCAAGGTGCTCTAAAACACCACCTGGAGACAGTCGATGGGAGTCAAGTGTGCGGCACGGAATGTCTCGACCTTACTCACTCAGGTACATGGAACGGCTACCTCCTTTTTGGGCCTACAAGCAACTTCAATAGTGCTGCATATTGTGGACCGACATTACCTTACTCAAAATGCACATCCGGAGGAAAGAATGACTTGTAAACCTGACCAGCGCTCGCACTGACATGGAGCATAATACATCGGGACCGACAGAGTTATGATATGCTCCACCAAGCTTTGTCGCGGGTTTCCCATTCTATTGAGGTGATGTTGGAAGTCAAAAACAGAAGTATCGTAGATGAGGTATGAGTGAAGATGAGGTGTTACCAGGGATGTTGGAGTTGGTATGTCAGAGCTGGGCGAATTTCTCGTTTTGTTTTATTCTTGGGAGAGATCGATTATTTTGGAAGTAGAGTCCGTTCTAGAGGAACGTTTCGATTAAATTAAGTAGATGGCAAAGTAGCAGCAAAAATTCAACATTTTAACGCTACTGAGATTCAATTTTCTGAGACTGGTTAAAAAATCAAAGATCTGTTCCATCTACCTCGCGAAGTGACTTGGGTGTCATCACTCCTGTTTATACAGGATTGAAAAAATGTTGGGATTCTGTGGAGCTGCCTTTTCGTTGTTTTTGAACTCAAAATCAGCTTGAAAGACTTAACTTTCTACAAGGTCTTACTTATAATTGTGATTTCAAAATCTGCTTAATTCGACCACAATTATATCAATCAGCTCCTGCTTGAAAGAGACTTGACTATTTACATTTAATCGAAATACTCTCTAGCAGTCCAAGGGTTTCTAAATAGTGACAAGTAGGAATTCCTAAATTAGTTTTCAAATTTAGTAAATTGGTCGAATGCTAAAATTTAAAGCAGGCCTTTGTCGTTGATTCTGACTTCTAGATAAGCTTCATCAAGAAGAAGCGTGATCGCCTAGTATGTAAATTGGACCCACTTGGCGTCATGTATCTCTTTCACTGAAGGACTAGAAGATGCGTGGTTCCTGTAGTGCCTATTACAGGACTAGTGCAATTTTAATGATTGAGTGTGGCTCTACGTAGGAGAAAAAAGAGGCCGATTTTGATCATATAAAATCTTTAACAAAATCTCTAACTTAATTGAATTATAAATCAATCACAAATATAACAAATAAATCTGAAAATATCAAATTACTTTTCACCTTTTATTTATACGGATTCTTATCAAAATTTATATTTTATTTTAGATTTAAGGAGAAGAATTTGGCTTATTGAAAGTGTTAAAAAGTAATCAAACCCGGCCTCTTTTTTCTCCTACGTAGAGTGTGGTTGTGAAGTCACGTGTTTCTCACAGCCGGCGGCGACTGAAAAAATTCAGAAATTTTATAATTAGCCGACAAATATCCATCTCGCTTTCACGAGATAAGCGCCAATAGATCCGTACATATTGAGGAGGGCAGCGAAACTATTCGCCCGAGGGATTAAGGCGACGAGCAATGGCAACTGCTGCACCCAGGTTGTATGAACACTAGTAAAACTGGATATAACTTTTCAGAAACCTGGACGCCTTCCCCTGGATCCGCTTAAGAATTGGAAGCCTCGAGCGAAAAGTGATACATACCTACACACACATATAAAGTTGTCCTAGTATTTACTATCAATATTTTTAAATGCTATCAGATGCAGAATAATCCTAGATGACAATAATGATTTTTTCGGATGCATTAAACCGTGAGGTTCAATCAAGATCCTTACCTTGAAGGATTTATATATAGTGAAATTTCCGCTTGAGGGCTGTGGCAGACACCAACGGCCTTGACGTTAGTTGAAAGTGGGTGAAGAGTTCAAAGGCTAGACGTTTTTGGGACAAAACACCATTGAAACGGAAGAAGAAATAGTAGCAGCTATGCCTGCGTAGAGTTTGCTCCCAGTAATCGATTGAAACTTCAGATGACCTGGCCCTCATTGCAGCTATTGATGTTGGCACCGCTATCCTTTTTGAGACCGAATTACATCTTTCTAAATGCCTTACTCTTAAATTGCAATTAGGAAGAAGTGGTTTGCGATATGAGATTTATTCTGGATAGTAAGTAAGAATGTCTTATATACACATAACTAGTATGTTTAAGTCGCTAGTCTGATTAAAAAGCAATTCGATGAAGATCTAACGATTTAACATCGACAGTAGCTTCGCAAGCCTAAAAAGGAAGACGGCCTTGAGTGATTCTCAAAATTGAATAACACTGGTATTTCATACTTTGATGCTTTTAAAACTTGAATATATATTCAGATTGATTCATTCTGAGCTGTGGAATCAAGATAATGATTGATGATAACCTTAAGATTTCAAATCAATTTTCACCTTGTCTTGTTCAGAGTCGCCAAAGCGATTCTGCAGTAAACGCCACTGTTATGAGCCACAACATAAAGCCACATTGGCTAGGTGGACTTCCCCGGTCATCTAAGATTAGCAAATGCATAAAAGTGGCTATGTATCCACTTATGGCCCCTTTCACGTTAGTTACTTCCAAGAATAGTAAGTTTAGAGATTCGTACCATTTTGCGACATAACAATTTACGAAGAGATTACGAACTTCCTAACCAACGGACACGAAATTATTGATTGATTACGATAACCATAGCGAAAACAAACCAGCAGATATCTGAAAATCTCGATATCACAATACGTCACATTGACGATACGATTTGAATTGAGACTCACTACCGCCTTTCCGACATAGGAAAACGATCCGTCCCTCGATTCACCGAACCTCATTGCATTTCAACATCACCATCATCACAACAATGCAGCTTTCCTCGACGTACACCTTGTCCCTCCTCGCCTTCCTTCCAACTCTCACATATGCACAAGCAGGCTTAGCAGGCGTGGTTGCTACATCAGCAGCCACCCAGATGGCAACCACGACTGCTGGGGCTCCATCACTTTACACAGTGGGTAGCGTCACAGCTGTCTCATACATACCAGTATATACGCAGACCTTTGCAACAACAGCCTTGGGAACTTGGGCGATCGGAGCTACTCCTCTGGTCGGCAGTGTGGGATTAGGAACAATTCAGGGAACCGTGGGAACGGTTAAGAACAAGAGAGCTTTGCCTACCGCAATGTTTGGGAAAAGTCATTAGAGGGATGTGACTGTCGAGTAGGATTCTGGTGTAGGAGAGGAAAGATTAGAGTTAGACATGATGGGAGCAGAAGATGCATCTCCCAAGATGGGTTCGATAGGAGGGTGATGGAAAATGTGCGACGAGACAGGAAATAAAATACGACATAAAGCGAACGGAAATGGATGTCGAAATCTGGATATGGAAGGAGGATCTTCTTTGATGATGCCGATGGAGTTACAAATGGCGTCAATACGGCATACGTTCTGGAAATTTGCGACTCGTCGGGAGACTATATACCTTTCCGCTTGGCTTACGATTCCCACCGACCATCATCATCGTATCCCTTTGCATATATTCAACTAGCGGCCGATATTCGAACAGTCCATGTATTGATCAGCATTAGACGATGAATACCCATTCAAAGTTTTTAGATTCGTTTGGCGGCATTATCAGGAGTTGTTGGTGCAGTTTGTTTTTGCCAATTTGAAGACATGGAGGCAAATGATACAACATCGGTCTTCAATTTTTCTTTCTTTTATTTGATTGTGTATATAGATATCAGGCGAACCAGTCCATTGCAGATGACTTAGGAGGACATGGGAATGGATGTAATACCATACAGACTAAGGAATGAAAGTAATTATTCTGTTAGGGCTTCAATTTTCTATAAAGTTATGAAAATTTGAGTCAAGTTGAATGATTTAAACACGATACCATGTAAAGAGAAAAAGGGAAAGCCACATGAGTTTCGATCATGGTATAAGTTCAAGGTATTATGGTGCCCCGCGACGGATCCAAAGGGTTATGTATTCAGACAAATATTGCGAAAACAAATCCTAAGAGCATCAAGACAAAATACAATAACTCGATGCGTCTCTAACAACAAAACTTTACAAGTACATACAAAACATCAAACCTGACGCCTGCCTTAAAACCTCCACTCCTTCAAACTACAATAATAATATCAAACTTTGCAAGTGCATCCCATATCGTATCCGCCAAATCTGTTCCTTCTCCATCAGTTTTATCGAGGGTTCCTCGAGAGAGCTCAAGCTGTAAAAGACGGCTCCTCCAAGCGGTCGACTACTTCCTGATTGAGGAAAGCAAGTATCCTCTGAAAGCAAATGTCTTTTCTAGTACCTCTGAGAAGGAATGTATTAAATCAAGGAGTTGGTACTTAAGATTCTGTTTTTTGATATAAAATATCAATCTTTATGTGACCTTAACGTAAAATGTGTATTTGGATTCAGTAAGATTATGATGATTTGAACGCATTAAGATCATTGTAACAATCTTAAGATCAACCAAATTACATAAACGTTTATTTTCGGGGACATCTGCTTCTGAGGAACTGTTGGTCTTTTTGAGGAGATGGCCTTTCCTTTTCATAAGCTCATCTAACTCCTTGTTGGCCTTCCATGGTGTCAAACCTTGTTTCTTGATATCACCGACATCCTGAGCCAGCTTTCCAAGGTCCTCGATTTCTCGAAGCCAGGGTGCCCACGTATCACCGGTGCTCCAATCCTGTCTTTGTAACAACTGCAAATCCGACTTGGTATGGTTTAGCTTCTTTTCTATTTGGTTTCATAATACTCGTACCGAACTAGCGTAATAGGATCGGCGGGATATTCTGTGCGTTTGGAGGACCTTTGTTTTTCTTCATGGGCTTTTTGATCGGGTGTTATGATCTGACTGTAGGGATGATTGGAGGTTCGGGGTTTCTCTTCTTTCTTTCTAGAAGTACTACTAGTCTCTTGATTTCGTTTACCTGACCCGATCGCATATATCTTTTTCTTGTGTCTTCCACTTGGATCGTGCCTCTTGTTCCCATTACTTAAAATTGCTGTAGTAGACGAATCCGATATATTGCCATCTCCATGAGATGAGCTGGAATCGACTCTATAAGCTTTGCGTGTACGATCTGTGCTGTGATTGGAAGTTGAATGGTGGGGTGACTTCTTCATATTTGGGCGCAGAATAGGATAGTTTTAAGATGGAATCGATATTTCCAGAATATCAAGTCTGTGTTTTATGCTGTGCGGTTTTCGCTCTCCTTTAAGAAGGTGTGTACTCTGCTTTTGGGATTGAATGGTGTGGCTAGTAGTTGAGAGGAGATCAAGACTCTGAGAATATCGTATAGATGTGAGATAAACCTTGGCTTGGGAGGCATTTGAATAATATTCTGAATATCTATGAACATGTGTTTGACCTGCTCCGTCGGCCGGCCTGAATCCGTTGGACTGGCCTAGAGGAATTTCGATTGCGTATTTCGAAACCGGCGGATTCCAGTACATGTATATCATCATTTTTTCTGACAATTTGTGGAGAACAATAGCATACGTATTCAGTTATCCAGAACAAACATTTCACCAAGAAGTGTGTTGGCATTGGTAGATTCTTCCAAGTAAAAGACTTCACATTGCCTACTTACTATTCCTATAAAAGAAAGTCAGAAGGTCCGATATATCTCAAATCATATCACCGATCATTTTTTCGTTGCCCTCAAGGTCTCTGAGGATGCTCACACAGGCCGGCAATACTTCGACTGCGCAATACCGCCGGCCTCTTTGCGCGGGACATGAATTTACAAGCAGACCATTCGGTCGCGAGCATCACCTTGACACATATGGGTCACATATGAGAAACTCCTTCGTTTCCAACAGAAGCTGTGATACTTAGTATAATTTTAGATTACATATACATCTCGAAAGGAATGAGTAGATGATTTGCCAAGCGATCTAGAGGTGCCCTGTAGTGGTAAAGTTAATATCTATGTACGAATAAAATTATTTATTTATTTATTTATATTAATTAACGTCTGTTTTGGATCTCCCTAAGGATATTTAGATGTGCTAAGATAAGAAACTATTTGAGCGGCATGATTGTTGTGATCGAATTTAGTAATTTAACTTTAATGCCAAAGGCTATTCGTTTCTTTATAGATGCGATCTGCTTTTGTTTTTAAAAGGGAATATCTAATCCAGATTGTTGTTGAGGTAGAGTTTAGTTCCCAAATGAATAGATTTGTTATGGACTTCAATCCCTATAATAAAAGAAAAGAAGTGAGAGTAGATTGCTATTTGTTTAGTCAAGCAATAAAGCTTTTATATTATATATTAGATTTGCGGTTTTTAGAGGTATAATGTATTCGAGTGATTAGTTGAGTAATGAGTTTATAAGAAATGAGCAGCAAGCTTTATTGAAAAGATTGTTACTTTCTAAGAATCCTTTAATAATTAGGATAAATCTAAGTATAGAATTCTAAGTCGATAATTAGCTGAGTGAGCTTGCTAGATATATATAAGAATTTCTTGATATATATAATTGTCTGTTGGGATACGATGACTCTCACCTGTACGTGGTGTATCCTACAAACCTTCGATCGTGCGATCGGAGAGCTAAGTAGAGTCAGCTGGAGTCGGGTGGTGATTGTACACTAATCGGAGGCTGTATTGGGAGCGAAAATATATACAGCTGATCATTAAAGGATAATCGCAAAGATACTCGGAATAGAGGATTACCAGCAAAACGGAAATGAAAACTATTCGATAATGGAAGGGAGATGAGAATGGGATTGATGTGGAACTATATCTTTACAAATCTATATGGGGAGCAGAGCTAGAGCATATCGTGGCAAAATATTTATGAAACAGAATTAGTCTTTGAAATAGCAGATAATAAAGCTTTTATAATATAACTGAGTCTAACTAAAGCTTATATTGAGAATAGAACCAATATTCTTAACTTAACGAATGAAAATCGATAGAATACTTTTGGAGTACTAGCGTGCAGAGTTTTTACAATCCAATAATACATACGATCTACAAGTATACCGAATTGGATATTTACAAATAATAAGGGGAGTAATAAAAAGTATACAAAGATTAGAATAATATCTACTAGAGTTGGCGGGAATATATATGAAATAGAAAAAAGAACATTTTTAGTACCTTATCTTTAAATATACAGGAACAGTATAGTAGTAGAGGAGCTCCAATATAGAAAGGATACTTTTAGCAAACTACACTCAATAACACTCGATCGATATTATAATAACAGAGGATTTTAGATAAAAACTAATCCTACAATATACATATATAACACACTCCTAGTACTTTACTTTCGATTACAAATTATATATTGGGGGAATGGATTTTACAAGTAGAGTTTTGGTTAGTGAGTTGGAAACACTATAGAAGGGCTATCTAACTAGGGATCTGAAATAGCAAGCCTGCAAAATATAATCGGCTTTGTTGTGTAGGAAAGATCTGGTAAGGTAATGCAAAACGATTATTAGTTGTAAGGTGTAGTATATAATAATAGCGATAGTGATACTGTTTATATGGCTTGAGAGGACGGATGCGTGTGTTGGTTTATAATCGGATATTATAGGGTAAAGGGCATAATAAAGGTATCAGATAGACTTAAAAAGCAAATAGGAATAGAGATGTAAAGGAATGGTTTTAATTCTGGCCGGAACTTCCGAAGGTAATTATATAATAAATGGTTTAACGTAGTCAGAAGATTCTATAAAAGCCTAATACTAATAGCTTTATTACAAGTGAGCTGGGAAAGTATCTGTAGATATAGCGAACCTACTTTGTATTATAATATATTCTAGAAAGTAGTTATAATATAATTCATTTCTGCCCTGTCGCCCTCTATGGCTCCGAAGTATGGTTCGATGGGCTATACAAACAACGCCCAAATGCAGGCCATGTTCCGGTCGGCACCGGGATCAAGAAACACGTCGATCTAATCAGCAAGACGATTCACAGTACGGTACGGGGAGTTTTATCTATCTACAAAACAACCCCGACGACCGTATTCCTTGTAGAAGCTGGTCTTCCAGTTGGAATTGTTGTACTAGAGTAAGCCAGATTGAGGTTTGCGTTTTGGCTTTAGACAGTGAATGCATAATATTTATTTGTAAATTGATTGAAGCTGTGTATTAGAAAGAGAGGACGAGGTATAGGTATTCTAAAAGGTTCTAATACAAAACTGTAAAGAATGGGATAGGCGATTTCTATTATTGAGCGTTTTAGATTCTTATAGTTTTATTTCTCTTTTGAGTGCTATACCGATTCAATAAATAATATAAACAAAAAAGATGCTGTGAAAGTATTCAAGGAATAATAGGATTTAATCCCTTAAAAAGACTATTCTGTATTTTTAGACGGATCTAAATAATATAATGAATACGGTTACTGTATAGGGTATGGCTTTGCAATCTATTGTGGCAAGCAATAGATCGATATTGGCTATGACTATATACACGAATAGTCATATGTTTTTGATACTGAAGTAATCGGCATATAACAGGAACTAAAATGCCTTCTGAATATTATTGATTGCCTTTATCAAAAATAAATATGGTTATATATTAATAACACTTTAATAATCTGAAGAATATAAGGAAATACTGTTATCTTCTTTCAATAGGTATATCATAAGTGCTATCAAGCGATATAATATTATGATATTATAATTAAGTAGTTCTTTGGGTATACTGAGATTGAGGGCAACAAGGCAGTTAATCGCTTTACTAATTAGAATATAATTAGACTATTTGATCTTAATCTATTCTGCCTTTTTACAATCAGCAGCTTCTATTTTATTTTATATACTAAATGTCGGTGCTTTGAGAATAAATAATGGAAGGAAAAAAGGGGCCTGATTTCCGAAATATACAATATATAGAAACCGGTATATAATATCTTGGAGCCGGAAAGCTTTAAGCTTTTTTGCAGGGTATTATATAGATTTATAACAATATAGATCAAATATAATGACTTTGCAATTTATTATATTAGATTCAATCACGAAAATAGTATAAACACTTGTATATACAGAATTGAGAAAAGCTTACTGTATTTCTTTTAATATTTAATTAATAATCAGATATATAGTGATTAACTACTTACACCAAATCGATTTTGATTTGAATAGAACATAATAGCATATATCAATTGTATCCTACAAATACAATATAACTTTATTGATCTTCTCATTAGATTCAGATTCTATATTAGAATATACTTAAACTACACGAAACTATACAAATTCCAATTTGCTCCAATACCCCAAGGATAAGCTTTCCACCTTAATCAACCTAAGACCCGCACCGAACAGCTATAAGCACTTCGAACATTCTCCCAATCGATAGTAATCGATCTGATCATTTACTAATATCCGGATAGTATACAAAACAAGGCTTTTTGAAACAGAACTACAAACTCTTAGACAAAACAGTTGTAGGATCGCTATGAGCAATACTGAGTGGGGGAATACCAGAGGCAACAAGCCCCTGATTAGCTAACATTACACTACTATAAGTAGCTGGAATGCTAGCGGCCTGTAGGCCCGCTCCTTAGTACATCTAGAATACCCCTTGGGAGGTCAGATATTAGACGTTAATCACTATAAATAAATAAATAAATAAATAAATAAATATAATTGCCTGTTTGTTAGATTGCATTTCTATAGGGGCAAGAGATCAATCTGAATGCTTTAGATTGTTTATAATACATTTAAAGAAGTGATATGGTTCCTTAGTACTACTGCATAAACAGTTTAACTTATTGTTTTGATAATCAAATCGCTAATGATAAGCAGTATAGTCGCTGTAGCCTGTTTTTATAACTATCAGTCAATATAAGACTGCTCTTAGTAGAGTTAGTTCCTTTAGCTTCTTTATATTGTATTTAGAAGACTATTCCTTGTAATTAATAAAGAGAGAGGAGTTCATCTTTTCTTACCAGATAGATTTTGTATATAGATACTTCTGACAAACGATTGTTTAAACCCCACTGATTATTGATAGCTTATCGATTGCTTGATTCATAAATCCAATTACACTTATATTTGCTAAACAATCTGCTTCCTCATTACCTTCAATCAGTTATTGACATAGTATACAACATATTTTCCATACACCCCACTCTAGTGATATGTATATATTCTT